TCTCTGCCTCAGAGGCGGGTATGAGCCAGGCTGGACACAGTTCCCCTCCCTGAAAAAGTGACTGTCTGTCATAGAAGGGGGGCATGTGTTAAAGAACTTCAAGGGGACTGATAGCAGGCTGGGGAGAGAGGCCTTTTTCCCTGTGAAATCAGTTGTGTAGGGGCCTGTGGGTCTTAGGGAGCTGCACGGGGAGACTGGATCTGAGGCCAACACCACCAAGAAGCAAGCTGACAGACAGAAGGGAGTCCTGACAACAGGCTGGAGCTCCGAGGGTCCCAATGACTGATGTCCTTCTCCTCAGTCCCTAACAGCCTCCTCTCTGCTTTAAGCCATTCTGAGTTGGGTTTTAGTAATTTCAAACTAACAGAATCCTGACTGGTACGTCGATATGATATCTATATATCTATATATAGATAGATATAGATAGATATAGATATATAGATATAGATAGATAGGCAGTTTTGTTCATGGAGAAATGATCTATCAGATATCAGAAAGAGATAAACCATGGCTAAACATTCCAGAGAGTAGAGCATTCTTTTCCTCTCGGGATTTTGAAAATAAAAGAACAATTTTTATTTATGTATTGGACCACAGTAAAAATTTAAAAAAGAAGAAAGAACACCTATGTGCCCCTCTGCTTGACTAACCAATAACAAACACTTTGCCATATTTGCATTTTTAGTTTTGAATATTCCTGACTCCTTCTTTCTTCTATGATATTAACACACAAGTCCAGGTAGACACCCCCATCAGGGCCAACAGAGAAAGGGCCACAGCATTCCCAGCTCACATGTGGGAATGAGGGATGCTCCCTGTTTTTTTTCAAATTGGGGAATTGGGGGAGGGGAGCAGTGTTGGGGAATTGGGGAGGAGGACAAGCCAAGTTGTTCTTCTTCAATCTTAGTCGTGGAGGGCACAAGTCGCCATCTGACTGCCCGTCGGCAGCTCGTGGCCTCTAAGCTCAAGGTGCTGTGTTACAACCTTAGTTGCAGGTGGGCGTAGCCACCATCCCATGTGAGAGTTGAACTAGCAGCCTTGTTGTTAAGAACGCATGCTCTATCCACTGAGCCATCCGGGTGGCAGCTCAGCTCAAGGTGCCGAGTTGTCTTAGTTGGGGGCGGGCGTAGCCCACCATCGAACAGGCAGTCTTGTTGTTAGGAGCANTTCACCACCTCTGCCTTGCTATGCACTACAGTAACTCTAGCTGAATGGACTGATACTGGTAGGTGTGGCCCGGGAAATCTAAATACACAACAGAAAACATAATGAAGCCCTACACAGTGCCTGGAAAAACACAGGGGCCTTCAAAACTGGCGCCAGTCTAGCGACTTTGGCCAGCCCATGTGGGGCCAACCACAGGTGCTAAGGCAAGTCCTGTCCCACCTCCTAGCAGAACATAAGGCTTGGAGGAGGACCCTGTTGGCAGAATGCAGGCTGAGATCATAGGCTCTACCTGCTCTGCTCAGAGAACGATGCTCCTGCTGACCTGTGCTGGACCACCCTTCATGTGGAGGCCAGGAGTTCAGCCCACCAGGAATGCCAGGCCACTCCTGGGCAGGAAGGGAAGAGAGGAGGCCTGCATACCACCCCCAGGTCTGAGCCACACACAACCTGATGACCTATAGGGCCAGTCCATCTCATGTGCTCTAGCACCCCATTCTTAGCAGGTGTGGCTGGGAAAAGGTAACACAGCCTTCTGGCACAGGCAGTCTCTGGAGGTCCAAGCTCTTAGAATAAACTGCCCCTGCTGCAGAGTGGCCTGGAGGGTGCGGGGCAGGAGTGCGTGAGGGCCCCATGCACCAAAGACAAAAGTGATGGCCTGGTCCAAGACAAAATGCTAAGGCTCAGGATGGTGAAGGGGCTGGGTGGGGCACATACCCTGCACTTGAGCTCATACTCCTTCAGGACTTCCTCAAAACGCTCCTCTTGGGCCAGTTCTGTGCTCTGTGGCTCCAGCTGAAAGTCAAGCCCACAGAGGAAAATTAGACAGGACTTTGGGCCAGGTACAGTGCATGCTGTCATCTGTCATGCTCCTCCCACTAGGCTCAGCACCTCTTATCCGTCCTCCTCCCCACCCCTCCCCTTGTTTATAGGTCTCAGGGTAGTAGGATGTCCCTGCCTTGACCCCCTGGAACACCCCCTGCCTGCACCGCGCTCCAGTGCAGCAACTCCCCTCCCCTCTTCCTCCCCAGGTTATGGGCAGAACCAGGCAGGGGGTTTGAGGGTGGGGCCTCATGGTGGGCACCAAACTCTAACCTCTCTTCCTTGCCCCTCACCACTGAGAAACCTGTCACTGGGGTAGATGGCGCTGGCTGGTTCTGGTATTGTCATTAAAAGGCCAACATGCAAGTCATCACGGGGGCATACTGCCACCCATGCACTGGCCCAAAGGGGAGGAAAACAGA